CCAGGTACGCATACGATACTCCACTACCTACGCTTCTGAGGGAAGTCTAATGGGTGGCGCATCCCAGAAAAGAGTTGATCAACGCTCAAAATACTTCAAAACTTCTTGTACAGCTACTTCACGTTCTTTCTACTCTTCTGATAACTTACCTGTATCATCGATGCATGAGCCTTCGCACGTTTTTTCTCTTCAGGTGGCTTTCCATGAAGGTGGATCAATGTCTCGGAAGCATGCTCTTGGGAATTCTGAAACATCAATACTCATCTTTGAAAAATTGGGAAATCTGAACTCTGCAATCGACGTGGGGTGGTGGACGAGTGGCAGCATGGTAATTGTTCCCCTTTTTTCTTCCTACCCTTTTTTCGTGTTACCTACCCGCAAAAATTGGCTGCTGCTAATTTAATTTTGCTACTATACGGGTTCCATCTTGGAAAAAGTACATAACGTTGCGCAGCTCCCATGAAGAACAAGATCCCAAAAACCGAGGTGCCCCAGAGGAAGTTTAAAACCACCAAGACTTACCTCAGCAACAAGTTTCAAGGTTATTGGAAGGTGCGTAATTGGTTTAACGAGTTTTAAAAGGACAGCGGTAGGTTCATGAGGAGTCGTTTGGTTTATGATGTCACTCAACAGCGAATTCTGACGTTCTTCCGTGACCACTTTGAATGGAGAATCAGAATCCTGAAAATGGGTACTATTCAAAGACTGACAGCTTTTGGTGGGTAGACCCAAAGCCTGGTAGCCTACACACTGCCCACAAAGCTCAGTACTGGACAACTGGGAGGCAACAATAAGCAAATACTCACCCCTAGAGGTACTTGGGACCTCACTGACGCCAGAAGGATATTGGCATCGGGAGGTTCGACGAACGTTTCATTGATCGTTGTTCCAGCAGGGATCTCAGCAGGGACATCGAAAAAGAAGGGTCGAACAGCCGATTCGGGAAAGATGCACGCTGAAATCAAGCAAAGTATATAATAACATAAAGGCGGACAAAAGGTCCGAAACCGATCATTCCATGTAGACAGCCATTCTCCTTGGTTTTATCTAGTACGCAAGAAATTTTGGAAGGTATTTCTGGTAAGGTCACCGTATGCGAGCCAGCTAGCAATCATACTAATCTCTACCGATTTACAGCCTATTCCTGCATGGCTTTGTCGCTTGGCCCTTCATATCTCAGGTTCTGAGAATTAAATGATGGGTAAGAGGATCAATCCGACTGTCTTTCCATCCTTATCAAAATACCGAATGAAGCAAAAACCAGTGGATCTGCTATTAGAGCCAGGCTTAGGAAATCAAAATGGACCTCAGACCTTGTAT